TATCAATATGCGTTTTCTGCATTGCATAGCTGCAAAAAACGCATAAAAAGCTACAGGGCTGAAACTTTGAGTACTTAATCTACATGCATGTACGCACCCCATTCCCAAAATGGGCGCTCTTATCTGCGTGGTACCCACGTGCGGGCCAGCCAAAGTTTTTGGTAGGCAGGTTGCTAACTCGGGAACCAGGAAGCTGGAAGACTGTAGATTTAAAGGGATGTTTCCCATCCGCGTAGATCTGATGAGTTCAAATCCAGCCCCCGGGTATGCGTGGTTCTCGCGTACGGGCCCGTGAAAGTTTTTTTGGGCAAGTTGCTAACTCGAAAACCTGTAAAGCTAGAAGTTTGTAATTTTAAGGAGATGTTTCCTGACAGCTTTGGTAGCCAGTCTCAATTCTTTTTAGCTAGAAGCATCTACCGGAAAAAGCAGTGCCGTTAGCGACAAAAGTCTGCGGGGAACTGTGCAAAAAACGCATCTTCGCATCAGCAATCGGCGCGCTGGCCATTTATCGTTTCTGTTGTTCAGCTGGCGCTTCTAACGTTTTCTTCTGTCCTCTATCGCTCCTCCCGCTTCTTGAATGAATCACTGTGCAGGAGTTTTTCCATCAAAGGCAATGGAAAACATAGCTTTTTCAAATGTCTTTGATGTGTGTGTATGCAAGTGTGTGTGTGTATATGTGTGTGTGTGTGTGTGCGTGTGTGTGTGTGTGCATTGGGCATGGCTACCTCTTTTTTGAAGGTTAACACTCCTGCGTTACAGGGAGGTGACTTAACTACTAGAAGGTTATTATCTTGCATTTTTCATGAATATTGTGGCTCAGTTTTCTGAATTGGCAGTATTTCCAGTATTCTATGTCTGTAAAAACATAAGTGCATGCCTTGGGGAAGCGAGTATGATGAGGGTCATTTAAGCGGGTTCTTAAATTGTTTTTCTGTTTCAGGCCAGCAGCTCTGAAGAGGAATTTCATCAGCAAGCTGCTCCTCCAACGGAACATGAATCTGATGGTGCTGGCCCGGAAAGAAGCAAGCATTCGGGGGTAAATATTTGCTTGACGTGGTTTTGGAAAGTTCTAGAAGTTGCCGAACACATCATTGGCTACATTCTGCAGACTCCATTCCTCGACTGCTTTTTTTCAAATTCCGACTTTTTTTTTCAAATTAGTCGCTAAATTTTTGTGCTAAATTAATCGCATTTGGTTGATAAGCACTGTATTTACAGGATCTGACATTCTACCACGCCCTGATAGCTTCGTTATCAGTGATTATCGTGTCGGAATTAGGCGACAAAACATGGTTTATTGCTGCAATTATGGCAATGAGGCATTCACGGCTCACTGTCTTCTGTGGAGCTATGGCCGCGCTAATCCTAATGACGCTGCTTTCAGGTCTCGATTGATTGCATTTCTTGATTTCAAATGGCCACATCTTAGCCAGTAAGCAGTCTGGTCATACTCTAGAAGTTGACTACTTTTGGGACAAAGTGAGTGTTTAACACACACGAAAACAAACATCTCGAAACGGCTGGCACTTTGCCAACCGTTTTTTCGCGACAGTCGTTGAGCTGGTAATTTAGAAAACGGAGCATGAGCATTAGGGTCTGCCGGCAGACTGATCAGTACTTGTCAAAGCAATTGGAAAAGTTGCCAGATGCATATTTGGAAAACCAGGCTATGAATTACCAACCAAAATATTCTGCATGTGTTTAATCACGAGTAAAGGTTCTAAAAATCGGGAAACAAACGATAGAAATCGGGGTACAAAAAAAATCGACCCATCCAAAAAAAAAAAAACGCCCAAACACTAGTTTTTGATGCAGTTTGTCCAGTATTTGTGGAGCAGTTTTTTGTCATGTTTTTTTTTTCCCGAGTAATCAACTGTTTCAGCTGGAATGGGTTGGCTGACGCAGGTTATACCGCGGTTTATTACTTACTATATTTCCACTGCTCTTTTTGCTTTATTTGGTGTAAAAATGCTATATGAGGGATACCGAATGTCGCCAGCCGAAGGACAGGAGGAGTACGAGGAAGCGAAAGCAGAAATCCAGAAGAAAGAACTGCTGCTGGATTCTTCGAAAATTTCTGACATGGAAAGTGGAAGCACCACATCAACGAAGCAAGAGTAGTTCCCCTTTAGTTTTCTTCCATTCATATGGTTTGGTCCTACAAATCACATGATTTTATATCGAAAAAAGAATTTTAAATTTTAAAAAACAAATTTAGTTCTTCACATGATTGTGTGTCAAGGCTTATAACTTCTTGAGCTCTTTGCACTTTTATTGGTACTATGAATTGCAATAAAGAAGAAAACCTTTAAACTTGCGGGGGAGGGAAGCTTCAGTAATAACTTTTCAGAAGATACATTTGGAAAAAAAGCTAAAGTGACTCACTGTTTGCATATTTTTAATGTGGCATCCTTGCGTCATTTTTATGCTTTC